CGATTCAGTTCTGTTGTTTTAATCCACTCGGTTTGTGGTAATTTGTCACAGCAGCCACAGAAAACCGATGCAGCGGTTCTAACTGCTATCACTCTTGTTACTACCTCAGACTCCCAGTGTCTCTACCCTTTACCCTAAGGGCCAGCTGGCAGGAGAAGCTGCCCTCACTAAGGACACCAGGCAGCAGGATTACTGACCCCTCTAGGGGAGAGCTTGAGACCAGAGGGCTGGGACTACTTGCTCAAGGTCACCTGTCAGTGACTGAGCTGGCCTGGGACCCAGCTCTCTTAACACTCAGACCAAGGCTTCTCTCCATACCTGGGGACTTCTGTAGTGTAGGGGACCTCATTTCTGGCTCCCTCTTGGGCCTGGCCATCCTGCCTTCCTGGTCCTACCAGTCTTGGCTTCTGACATGTCTCTGGAACTCTCTGACCCCACAGAGGCTTCCCAATTGTGTTTGATGCTTTTGAGGTCTTAAAAACCCACCTGCCTCCATCGCAGGGCTCTCTACTGGAGACCAGGATGAAGCCCTCTCCACACTACCCACAGTAGGTTAGGGGTTGCTATCTGTAGAGTTATAGCCATAGAGCAATCTTCTGAAATGGGCAGCCTAGACTCCCATTTTACAGATCAAAAGACCAAGATTAGAAGAGGCTAAGTGATTAATTCAAGGGCACTCAGTTCCTAAGAGGTACAGGTAGGTCCTAGACAATCACCCTGTGATTCTTGCTCTAGACAGATTCTCAGTCTCGACAGCTTCCATTCACTGTGCCGTAAATAGGGACCATACCCTGAGCTCAGCACTTCAAGTCTGTTACTTCTCCCATGTGTCCCCGCCTGAGAAGTGAATACTATTATTACCCCATTTTACAGATGGAGGAACTGAGGCTCCACTCCACTTTCTAGGTGCTAGGGCTTTGTTTTCTTCCACTATCAGTTCTTAATGAGGGGTAAAGCCAGATACTGACTGTTTCTGTCTAGGGCACTTTCTCTCTAAATATTTCCCTGTTTGAGTTTCCTAATAGGGTGGAGAAGTGGTGAGTCTGGCCTTGGAGCGGAGCAGGGTGGGCTGGAGTGCTCAGATTCAGGCAGGAGTTGCAATGTGTGCATGGGGCACTCAGAAAGCTCTACAGAAGTCCCTTGGAAACTGGGGGAGGCTAAGAGAAGCTGTGTCCTGGACCTTAGGGTTCCCCAGAGCCTCCAACCTTGACCCTGTACCTACTAAGTGCCAGCCACTTCCTTCACACACATTATTTGAAATTTTCCCAATAGCTCTGATTTAAATCTGTAGTTCTAGAGAAGGGAAGATTGAGGTTCAGCGAGAAACAGCCATTTCTCACAAGGTCACATGGCTGGGGAGAGACAGGATCAGGACTTGAAACCAAGGCCAGTGAGTCTCTTTGGAGCACTCCTCTCAGGTACCTCCTGAGAAGGCCGCCTCGTTTTGGATTTGAGGGTTGAATGGTCCCTGGGAGGGCCTTATTTAGCTGTGAAGACTGAGGCCAGGAGGTGGGGCTTGCTAGAAGACGGTAGGTGAAAGACTTGACAGGAAGCCTCAGTCTCCCCAATGTGGCAGGAGCCAGGGGAACAGCGGGATGTCCAGGCCACCCCCAGCTCCGAGAGCCTAAGAGTTCTGCTAAACCCACTCTCATTCATCTCATCTTTCTGGGGTGAAGAGTAAAAGGGGTGAAAACCCAGGGTATCTGCGGGAATGTAGCCTCCAGGCCTCCTGAGTAATCAGGGAGGGGCCCATGTGCTCTTTAGGTCCATTAATGTTTGAGACCATTCAAACTAGAGGTTTCCCTTCCTTTCTTCCCCTCCTGACCTTGGAATCAGACAATGTCAGCAGCAAGGTGCTCACCTGCTCTGGCTCTAGGTCCTGATGCTAATCATACTTTTGTGCACGGCCCTCTACAGTGTTTGGGGCTCCCAGACAGCTGTGGGGTAAGGTAGGGCAGGAACAGGCCAGCCTGGCCACAGATGAGAGACTGGGATGCAGAGAGATAAGGGACTTGCCCAAGGTGACACAGCTCATCAGGAGCAGAGGTTAGGCCCAGGGCCCTCATCCTTTTGACCTGGAGTCACACACCTAGGGAAAACCAGGGGCCCAAATAGACAGACCCCTGTTGGCAAGAATCCCAGCTCTTCAGAGAACACAGTGTGACCTTGGCCAAGTCCTTTCCCCTGGCTGGGTCTCAGTTTCCCTTCTATAAATGGGCCTGGCTAGGTGACCTCCGGATGCATACACCTGCTTTGGCTTTCTAGGCCTTATCAACTCCATGGAGCAAAGGGAAGGCAGAGCTGTCCAGCTGCTTAGGTCAGGACCACACCTGCCTGGGAAGGCGTCTACCTTCATCCACAGGAGATCCTCTCTGCCCTTTCTTGGAGACTCGTCAAAAATTCTAAGTTCTTGGTTCACTGGTTCTCAAGGTGTTGGTACCCCAATTGGAAGTAGCCTCATCCCAGATGGCTAAAGAGGGTAAGCAGGGAGTGTGACAGCCTGGCTTCTACCTCACCTCTGCTGTGTGCCAGCTGTGTGACCTTGAGTAAGTGACTTCACTTCTCTGGATGCAGCTTCTTCACCTGGTATGTGGGGATAACAGGGCTGTGGGTAGCCCTGCTGAGGTGATGTATGCAAAGCCATTAGCTTGGTGAATGCTGGCTGGGTTATTGCTATTTACCTGGGTCCCATGACCCATACCTGTGGCTGGATGGGGTAAGGGAGAGGGGGCAGTAGGGGAGCAAGGGGAGGCACCAGTACCCAGGCTTGCACACAGAATAAACCACAGGCAGATTTCTGACCTTCAGCCTGGAGGGGACTTTGGGGCTACTGTAGGTATCGCAGGCCCCAGCTCTCAGGGACCCCACACTAGTGGGTTAGCTTTCCAGGTGCTAGGATAGGGGTCAGTGGGGCTAGTCTGGGTTCCTGATAGAGTGGACCAGGGGCAGGAGCCCTGCCCACCTCCTCCTCTGTCTCCTTTCCAACTCCTGGCAGCCTTCTCTGAAGAACATCCATAACCCAAGATGGCCTTGCTGAGACCAATCACAGGTCCCTGGGAATGTGAACTGGCCTACCCTCAAGTCTGTGTGGGGCTGTGGTGGCCACTAAGGGATCTAGTGTCCCTCTGTCTTATGGGCAGTCCCCTAAGGGGCAAGCCCCCCCAGCTCCTGCAGAGCCACCTTCACTCTTAGAAGCTAAGGGGATGGTGTGTGCAGGCAGCACCCACAGAGGTGCTAGGTCCATGTGCCACTGCCGTCTTCTTATGTGTGTGACCGACATTCACCTGTGGGCACATTCCAGCCTGCTGGGTGCCTGCCCGTGCAGGGACAGGCATGCAGATGGCTCATATGTACATGCCTGTTGTTTTCGCACCTGGGCCAGCCCTCACACGGGTGCACACATTTGTGAGTGCTGCAGGCACTGTGTGCAGCCTGCTGCCTTCCCAAGTTAGTGCTACATGCACATGTGGGCATGCTGCACGCCCAGGTGTGTGTGTGTGCTGCGTTCATGCATGTGCTGTGTTTCTCATGTGAGCATGTGGTGTTCGGGGCTGTGAGCCGTATTTACAGGTGCTGGGCTGTGGGCGTGGGCATTCCATATGTGTGTCTATGATTTGAACATATGCCATGCATGGTTATGGGTACTGTATTTGCGTCTGTGCATCTGTGTAAATCTGTGGACACAGATAAGCCCTGATGTGAATGGGACTGAGGGTGTGAAAGGTGGCAAAATATATGGGACATCAGCATTTTTCCTGGAACCCCCCTCCCCTTGCTACTGCTCCTCCAACGAAGTTAGCAGGCGGAGGCCCCTGAGGCCTGCTCCAAGCCCCCTCCTACTGCACACGTCAAAGGAGAATTTCTCCGGATGGCGCCCACTGCTCCTGGAAATGCCCCAAACGTCAGCTCTGCCTCCTCTCAGATTTGGAGAGCAATGCAGGAGAAGAGGGGAGCCCCTTCTGCGCTGGGCTCAGGCCATGCAGCGTCACACCAAGACCCTCTGTCTCTGCTCACTTACCCTTCTGAAGGTCGAGCCTAGCCAGGCCTCTGTATGGGGGCCCCAAGACCCCTGGGGGCCTTGCCTGACTGGGGCAAGCCAGAGACCTCTCCCATACAAGCTGGAGAGTAGAGGACAGCTGTGGTGTAGAATGGCCACCTGGCTAGCAAGGGGTGGTTGTTGGAAGCAACCTACCCTCAGGGAGGCCCAGGCCCCTGCTGCAGATCCCCTCCCTGACCCTGCAGGGGGCAGGGAGGAGCCCCAGGTGCCCTAGCACTCAGCCCAGGCCACTGAGGCTTAGCCAAGGAACTAGGCTTCCGGGCGGAAAGTGCCAGCTCCACCACCCAGCATGACTGCTGCAAAATGGCCTGGCCATCCCCATGCTTGTCCCCCTCTTGGCCATGCAGGGGACCCAGGGACACGTCTCTGCTGCTACCCGACCAAGCGGGCTTAACCCAAAGATCTAGCACATAACAGCCCACTCTACCAAAGGGGCCCTCCACGGGGGCCTCCCCCATCCCCTTTCCTGGTACCCTGGACAGGGTGGGAAGAGGGCACTCTCTGGTCCTCTTCTTCTCCCTGGGACGCCACTTAGAGAGAAGAGAACCTTGTCCCCTGCCACTGCTCTCTGGCCCTTGCATAACATCCTTTGGAGGCATTTGCAGTCCAGAGGCTGCCAGAATCTACCTGAGACCCCCCGCATCCGCTTGTCCGACGCCCCCCTGCCCGAGTCCCCAGCATCCAGTTGCACCCCCCAACACGCGGACCCTCATACGAGTGTCTCCCTCAGCCGCGGTGCGGAGGTTCCTAATGCAGCCTCAGCTGCTGCCAGATAAACAAGCCCGCTCCCACCCCCCCTCCACGCTGCCACAGCCACCACCATCAGCACTGAGAAAAATCAAAAGAAATGAAACAAAATAAAATGGGTAAGGGAGGAAGGGGACAGCGGAGTGGGGCGCTTTTTATTTTTTATTTTCTCATGCTGGGGGATGCCGGTACTTACTTGGCTATGAAAATCACCACCAATCCTACACGGTTTCCAGGCGGGCAGCCCCGTAATCGCTGTGCGGCAGCTGGTGCCGCGGCTGAGCCCAGCCAGCGTGCCCCGGTCCCTCTGCAGACTGTACCATCCTGCCCGCGCGGCTGGGGGGGGCGGGGGGGGGCGGAGGCGCCGGCGCCGGTGCTAGGAGAGCATCTCGCCGGCAAAATGCGATCTCGGGGGAGGCGGAGGCCGCCCCTGCCGCTGCCGGAGGCTGGGGGGAGGGGGCCGGGAGGACGACGGAGGGACGCAGGGAGGGCTGGTTCTGGTAGGGGGTGGGATGAGGGGAGGAGAGTGGGGGGTAGGGGTGTGTGTGGACCGAACCACCACGGGGTTGTTTGCGGTTTTAATTCCTCCCGTGGGATCATGAGGAACTGAAGCTGGCAGAGTCCCAGGAATATGCCCGCTCCCCAGAAGCAGGAGGGAATGTCAAGGGCATGGAGAGGGTAGGCTTGGGCTGAGCCGGAGGGGAGGGGGTCCCGAGAGTGGTGTGTGTGGGGGGGAGTTAAAGCAGAGAGGGGAGGATTTTGCTCAGATGGTCCCAGGTCATCCCCTACTTTCTGGGGCAGTGGTTTGGTGGGGCATGGGCTCTGTCCCTACTCTTTTTGTCTGGGACACCCCAGACTTGGGGGCAAAGGTCACATGAGGGGAGAAGTGGACTTAAGAGTCTCAACTCAGCTATGGCTATGGGGCTGGCAGAGCTCACAGCAAGCTCCTTGCTGCCAGCTGAACAGTGCCCCTGCAACCTAGCGCCCAGCCTGTGTGCCTCCCACCTGCCCTGGCAGGGCGGCCTAGCAGAAGGCTCTAGGGGCCATTTCTCTGCTGCCAGGTGCCCACCTGCAGGGCTGTCTGCACATGTCTCTACACCCTCAATCTACAGGGACATCTGTGAGGACTGACCATGGTGGGGTGAGTCTGCAGGAATGGAACCCCCAGCCAGCTGCCCACTTCTTCCTGTCTCATGTCTGGCAGACCTGCTGCCCCTTTAGCTCCGGGTGGGTGGGAGACAAGCCTTAGGAGCAAAGGTAGGAGGTTACAGTGGCTGGGGGGCTTCTCTAGGATTCTGAAGCCTCTACACTGCCTTGCCTCCTCCCAGAGGGCACTGGAGGTGGAAGGACCTTCAAGACCAGAGACTCAGGGTACCTATCGGTTTAGAGGGGGCACATGTGGGGCTAGGGACAGAGCTGGGAGTTGCTCCAAGAGGCAGCTCCAGAAGGAAACTGTTCCTTCCCTTGCCTCCACCCTGTGCCCACCTCTGAGCTGCCTGCCCCAGTGAGCGTCCCGAGCTGCTGCTCTATCCCTGGGCTGGCACGGAATATCAATTTGTCTCGTTAAGCTGAAAGTCTGCACTGCACCAAAATCAGAACCCAGCCGTGCAGAGGGGCAGCAGGAGGGAGAGAGCTGGGAGTGCTAGTGGCAGGGACCCCGCAGGAGGACCATGCTGAGACCCCTTCATTCTTTTCCCTTCTGTCCCATCAGAGGGTCCTGTGCTTGGCCAGGCTGAGAAACTAAGGATAACAAGGGCTAGGGGGACATTCAAGACCCCGGGCTCCACTGGGGCAGGGGTGTGGCTCAGAGGCTAGGGAAGGCTCTCTTCTGGGATTCTGACAGAGCATCTCAGACACACCAACAGCTCAGGGTTGGGGGCTCCCAAAGCAGCCTCACCTTTCCCTCATCTTGGGGGGTACACATGGGGGAACCCTATCTTCTTGGGAGTATAGTTGGGGGCATTCTATCCACTCCTCTGAATAGGCTTCTAAGTCACCACTGGCCCTAATCAGTGTCCATCCCAGGGGCCAAAGCCAGGCCAGGAGTCCCCCTTTCCAAGAGCCTACAGGCAGCCCTACTCTGCCAAATGCAGCCAAGTACAGGTGTTCTGAGAGGGTTGGAGTGAGAGCGGGCAAAGAAAGGCGGAGTGTGAAAGGCCCATTGCAATCCACATCTGGTCTGAGCACGCCTGTCTGTGCTGGGGACCCCACCATTGTCACATCAACATCTTTGGGGGCCGATCACTTTCCCAGTTATAAAACAGACAGCCCCTGCTATGAGCCACCCACTTTGACAGCGAACACCCCTTCTGTGTCTAGCACACTCTGCAGCTTGTAAAGGCCACCTATAAAACAGTAGATCATTTGATCCTCACAACTACTGCTGGGTGGCTGCTGTGAGCACCCAAGGTTCAGATGAGGAGGTTATGTGTAGTTCAGAGGGGTGCAGTGGCCAGGACAAGGTGGCACAGCCAGTAAGAGGTAAACCAAACCTGTGACTGAGGCATGAGAGTCCAGGCCCAGGGACCCCCACGTGTGAAGGCTATTGGGAGCATGGGCTGACTGAATGTCTACAACACTTGTCCACTTGGAAGTCCTGAGTCTTGCCTGCCTGCTGGCACCTGTTTGGGGTGGTCTGGGCCCTCACCAACACCCTGGGCAGTCATGGATTTTGGTTTCCAGAATCTAAGATTGTAATTGGTACCCAGCCCAGCTCTTGTCTTCTTGGCATTCCAGGCCCTGTGTCCTTCAGTTTCTGCATCCACCCACCATTGACTGGATGTTTCCTATCTCCTGAAGCAGCTCAAATGTTGAATAGCATAGTTTGAAGGTTTTTTCCTTGCACCTATATGTCACTTCTAGACACATAAACTCCTATTCATCCTTCAAAGCCCAACTCATACTTCCTTTTCCTGGATAGTTAGTCTTCCTGATTCCAGAAACTAAGTTGGTTCATGCCTCTAGATTCTAGCTCTAACTACTCTGTATTGTGATGGTCTACATGCCTTTCTCTCTCACTGGGGTATGACCACGTCACACATATCTTCACAATCCCGGGTCTCAGGTCCCAGCACATGGTAGGTGACGTAGTAAAGACTTGAATGAGTCTGCTGCTGTGTAAATTTGATTTATCAAGTACAGAACCAGAAGGACTCTCAAAACCTCCAATTCAATCCTCCCATTTTACAGTTGAGCAAACTGAGCCTTCAAGAAAAAATGTAAATGGCTTGCCTAAGGTCACTCTTGAGGGTGGAACCTGGCCATAGACATCCATCACCTGCTCCGCCCTGTCCCTGGTGCCACCCCTTCCTGCAGCAGACACACCTGCGTCATCTGGCCTGTCCTTCCAGGATATATTGGGGGCGGGGGCAGGGGTTTTGGAAGGGCAGAGGTGTTGTGAAATTAGACAAACAATGGCCCTAGTGTTGTAACTCCAGGAAGGTTGGAAACGTCAGGTCAGGGTCACCCACAGGGAAGAGGGGGAAAGAGGCAGGAGGCCAGCTGGGAGGATTACTGATGGCCTCTGCCTCCAACATGATTTGGCTTATGGTGGACATGGATTGAGGCTCAGGGTTGGAGAAAGGTACCAGAAATAGAGGAGGGGAGGGGAGAGCCACTGGAGCCTTATTTTCCAACAATGTTTAGTTGGCCAGACCACATGTTCTCCCATGGGGAGAGGTCCTAGGACCCCCCAGAGGGCGAGTGGTGAGGGTCAGTCTGCCCAGGGATAGGGGTAGGGAGCTTGGTCCAGTCTGCCAAAGGCACTCTGCACAAAAGAGACAGATGAAGTAGGTCCAGACGGGTCAGAGGGAGGAGAATTGAATGTAACCAGAGGCCAGCTGTGTCCTTTCTATATGACATGGGCTCCCTCTTGCCTTTCCTCTTTCTGGAAAGTGTGAATGTGGGTTACCTGCACTTGCCTCACCTGGCTTAGGGGCTTTAGACACCTAGGTAGGGGTCCTGGGCCAGCTCTCCGGTCACTGCTGCCACAAAGAGATGCTAATTGGGCCCCTTAGGGCACAGGAAGCTATTTCCAAAGGCCCATCACAGTCATGTCTCCTCTGACTTCCACAGATCACCTTCAAAAGAGACTGGGCTCCTACCCATTTTACAGAAGAGAAAATTGAGACCTGGCGGCTTCAGGGACTTGCTTAAAAGTTACAGAGCCAGTGAGAACAGGAGTGAGATCAGAATGCAGATCTATTCCACTCAGACCCTATGCCCTTCTCTCTGTCTCTGCCCAAAGTTACTCAAGTTTGAGGTAAATAGCTCAGGGACTCCTAGGCCCATGACTTTGAGAGGCCATGGACTGTGGATCCAGAGGACCACATAGGCTTGCTTGGTCCAAATCTCCCCTATAGCCATGTTGGGTTCCCATACCCACTCCCCCACCACCACAGCCCAAATTCTCTCAGCTAACCAGACCTGAGGTTTTGAGGCCACACAGACCTGGGTTCAACTCCTGGCTCTCTCACTTACCTGCTGTGTGACCTTGGGCAAGTGACTCAACCTCCCCCAGTTTTCTCATCTGCTAAATGGGGATGATATTATTTATTTGGCAGGATTGCAAGTTAAAGGAGATGGCAGCTGTTATGAACAGAAGAAACAGAAGGGGTGGAACTCTCTGGGAGATCCCTGGGAAAGTGTTGGAGTGGGTCTCTTGCAGCTCCTCTTACTGATACGTGATGCTCTCAGATGCCACCTGTGGGGCGGGGCTAGGCTGATCTCCAGGATGCAGTCAGGCCCAGGGTAGCCCTGCTGAGATTTGAGCCCAAGTCTTCAGTTCCCTGTTCCTCCTATTTTTGCCCTCAGTAAGGAAGATGCAGACCTGGCTTGTGGTGAATTGCCCCCAGACACCATTCTCATGGACATCTTACTATGCACCAGGCCATCTGTGCAGGTACCTTATTGTGCGATCCTCACAAAACCCTGGGAGGTAGATCATATTTTTATTCCCATTTTACAGATGAGGAAACAGAGGGACAGGTAAAATGATGGTGCCCAAGGTCACTGAGTGAATAGGGGAACAAGGACTTAAAACTGAGACTGTGTGAGGCCCTGCGTGAACCAGGGTCCGGGAGCCACTGGAGATCTGGGTTTCCTATAGCACTGGGCATGTCTTCCTGACCTGTCTTCCCTCTGCAAGACCAGAGGTTAAGAGCAAGGCCTTGAGTTCACAGGGTTACTTCAGAGAAGCCTAGGGGGACAAATAGGGAGCTGGTGCTTTTCCTCTTGGAAGAAGACAGAACCTGGGGAACTGTCAGAGGACTCCCTGGGGGAGGCTGCTTTTTCCAGAGCTAGGAGACTGGTCTCACGCATGGTACCATTTTAAGCTAATGCCCCATGTACATACAATACATATACTCTGCCCACTGCCATCCAGCATGCTTGAGTCCTAATCCTGTGCTTCCCACCTGCTCCCCTCCCGTCCTCTGCCCATTTACTACCCTTCTGCAGCCTTAGGGAGCTTTCTAAATTCCTCTAACCCCTTCTTTGTTTCCCATGTGCTCTTAGCATAAAATCTGAAGTTCTCACTATCTCATGAGGCCTGGAAAATGATTCCATTCCATCCTATCACCCTGTCCCCACACCAAGTCTTCCTTGCTCCCTAGGCATTTTCATACCTCTGTGTGTTTGCATGTGTTTTCCACTCTGCTAGGATGACTTCCCTGCCTGGAGAACTCCTATTCATCCTTCAAGACCCTGTTCCAACAGCCCCTCACCTCCCCTCCACTTTCCTTCCCTTCTCCTCCACCAGCCCCTACCCTCACCTCCACCAGCCTGAAAAGAGTTTGTTGCAATTAACCTTTTTATGTGCATCTGTCTTGTCCATCAGGCTGCGTTCTCCCTGGGGATAGGAAACTGGGTCTCGTTTTCCTGTGATATCCCTAGCACTGGGCACAGAGCCTCAATAAATATTGACCGAACTGATGAATACAGGTTTGTTGACTGAAAAAGCAATTTCCCTAGTAGTTTTAAACTGTGTCTGCAACTCTCTGTGGTGCTGGAAATGCTATTTGGACTTATTTGGGGGGCCTGGTTTGGGAATGTTACTTCCTATCAGTGATTGGGGCTCCCTCAGCATGCCCAGCTTGAAAAGGGTGAAGAGAGACCCCAGCTTCACTCAGACAACACTGTCCAGAGAGGTCCCAGCTGGGACCATGATGCTTGAGCCTAGGGCTGGGTTCAAAGTGAGTTGAGCATGCCCAGGAAGGAGCCCCTATCTCTAAAATCTCCCTTCTAGCTACATAGGGCCTGGCATCTCAATTACTATTAATAATAGTAATTTCTTTGGATCATTCAGTCAAGAAATATTTATTCAGTTCTCATTGAATGTGAGGCACTGTGCTGGGATCGCTAGTTAACGTGTGTGTATGTGTGTATATGTGTGTGTGTGTGTGTGTGTGTGTGTGTGTTTTTGCTCTTGCTAGAGGGCTGACTCCCTGAAGGAAGAAGAGGAGGGAAGAGGAAACCGAAGGTCATGGGAGGGGGAGATGAATCCAGGAATATCAGGAGAAGAAAGAAGGGAGCCTGTCGTTTACTGAGCATCTACTGTGTGCCAGGCTCTTAACACATGAGTTATCACTTCTCGCGACCAACCCAGGAGAGTCTGATGTTCACAGTCTTCAACCTAGAGGAGAGGAAATAAGCCCAGAGAGGGTGGGTGGCTGGCTCGAGGGTGCACAGCCATGTGGCACAGGACTGCAAATGTGGCATTGTCTTTCCCAAAGCCTGTGATCTCTCACTTGTGGTCCTGCTGAGGAGGCTCCCAGCAGGGAAAGAGGGTTCGGGGGCAGAAGGCTGATGACTGAGACTTGGGAGGCGTGGGTAGCCAATAGCACTGGGACCACAACCAATAAGAGGTTAGGGAAGAGAGTGTGGCCACCCCAGCTATCTGTGTGTCAGCCCAAGTAGCTGGATGCCACAGGGGCCACATTAGCTACCTCTACTAAGCCCTTTCCTGCATGCTAATGTGCACACTTAAGTACACACTTAAATACTCACAGTACACCCACCTCTGCCCCCAGTGGCTCTGCTATGTGGACAGCATCACCTCCAGTTCATGGATGAAGGAACTGAGCTTTGGAGAGTGGAGAAAACAGGCCCAGGGTTTCAAAGCCAGAGGAGGAATAAGCACATGGCTCTTTCCTGGAGTGCTTGCTCCCATGAGGATTCCAGGCGGCCAGGGTTCTCAGTGCAAGCACACTTCCTTCACACTCAAGCCCACTCTCTGGGACTGAAAGGGCTCATCTGCCTCTCAGGCCCCCATTGTACCCCAGGTGCAAGGGAGCAGGCGGAGGTGCAAAGAGCTTAGGAGCTGGAGACTGAAGGACTTTGCTCAAATCCCTGCTTCATCCTGATGGGTTGTATGACTTTGGGCAAGACCCTCAACCTCTCTGGTCTCAGGCTTTTCATCTGTAAAATGGGCATGATGCCATACACTTCCTGCTTCTCCATTTGCTTATTTATTCCACAAATATCCATGGAGCACCTACTTCTCTGGTTCTGTGCTGGGGGCTGCAGGTATGGTGGTGAGCAAAAGAGCCCCTGGTATCTGCGTGAAATGATCACACCCATGAACGTACATTGACAGAGACTCTGAGGTGATAGGGCAGAGGCCATGAACACACACAGCAGAAGGACCCGAGTGTCTGTCAAGAGCAGGAGGAATCACAGAGGGTTTTCCCAGGTGGGTGATGACTGAGCAGGAGTTGGAAGGCTAAGCAAAGGAAAAGAGAAGGGGTGGGGGCACAGATTTCTGTCCTTATCCTGGCTAGGGGGTTCCTGGAAAGGGTTTTAAGGATTAAACAGGATGAGCACAGCTCCCCAAGGAGGCTCTCCTGCCAGTGGGGATAGTCCAGGCTTGGGTGGCCCACTCTGCAGGCCCTCTGCGCGGGAGACTCCCCAGAAGGCTGGGCCAACTCTCTTACTACAAGCGCACCAGTGGGCAGCTAGACCAGGAGTCAGCTGAGGGGGGCCAACTGCTGTGGGCCAGGAGGGAGTCCCGACTCATTCCTGCAGCCTCCCTGACCTGTCAACCCTCTGGGCTGGTTTGTGATGACCAAACCCAACACAGACATGGAAGGACCTCTGCAAACTGTAAGTAGATTCTTAGACACAGGTGCTGTTTTTCTAAGGGACACAGAGCATAGAGTAGGGACTCAGGGATTAAAGAGATGTAGGATTTGAGCTTTGTCACTTACTATTGGGTGGCCTTGTGCTTGTTGCTCAGCCAATTTGAACTTCAGTTTCTATATCTGTGGAAGGGGGATAATAATACCTAAAGCTATGGGAGTGTTGGGAGGCATGAATGAGTAACATGTATGCACGTGGCACATAGTAGGTGCTCAGCAAAGTCTAGCCTGCTTCTCCATCTGTATTCTGCAAAGGTGACAATACTTTTAAGTCATAGAGGAGCTCATCTGTGATCTCAAACAAAATGAGAGAGAGTCTGAAGACATCACTGGTCCATGTCTTTGGCATTAATTGAGCACCTACTGCGTGTCTGGTGGTGAGAGGACTGCCTAGTAGGAGCAAGGCTTGGGAGGCAGATACTTGACTGCAAAGAAGGAAAAGAGGGAGGGAGGATTTGGGGAACCCTATGGGGTAGTGAGGGTGCCTCTCTCCTGAGGGGTGAGGTAGATTTCCTTTTCTGCTCCTTCCCCACGGGAGGTGTCCCAAGCCTCTGAGGACCTCCCGCAGGTGGTAACCATTTCCCCTGTGACTTGGTGGGACCTCTCAGCTGCCAGCTCCACAGAGGAACCTACCTATAAGCCCCTGCCTGAAAACCTAGCCCCAGTTCGAGACTACCCTGGCCAGGTGTATATGGCTGGGGCATGGGCTCTCACACAGGCCTGGGCTCAACTCTGGGGTGTGTGATCTTGGAAAATCTCTCCATCTTTTTGAACCTTGTTTCTTCATCAATAACATGGGAATAATATCTACCTGAGTCTTCTCCTGAGAATTCACAGAGATATTGTCCATAAAACACTTGGCCTGTCATGTGTTACATGCACAGTGAATGATAGAAATTACCCATGAGCCCCTCTTCTCTTCTCTTGTAATGAGCAGGACAAAAGGATCTTTAGGGGCTTGGTGTGGCAGCTGTCTTGCCAATGGTGTTCTGGAGTTCTTCATCTTGGCTTGGGAGAGCCAATCATGTGTATCAGTGATCTAATGCTGATCACAGTTTGCCAAGGCGAGAGCATTTACACCACAGAAATTGGAAAACACCACAAAACAGGATGTCCACCTCCTTGAGAACAAGTTTTATGAAACATTTACTAGCACACCAACGAGTCCCAGGCAGGCCCTCCACATGGGGTCTGGAGTTCATTCTCTTTCAAGTTTCAGGTCCCCTTTCCAATCTGATTTTCCTAAATCTGCTCCTTTCTGCCACTGGCTGTCCTTGCCTCAGCCCTGGGCCTCTGTTGACTCATCCCAGTGTTGATAAGCTGCTCTTATCTGCCACAGTGCTTGCTGATGTTCGCAACTCTGCCCAAAGGGCAGCATGGGGCAAGGTGACTCTGGTCTGGCATTGCCCTAGAAACTGTTGGCCAATAATCTCCCTCCCTCTCCTTGGTTTTCCTTTCTTATTGCTGAACCCCAAAGCCCCTTCTGCAGCCCCCCTTTTCTCAGTCTACAGCACCCCAGATACCTTCTCGTTCACTCTCTTATCCAGAAGTTTCCACAACATCAACTACCCACCCCTCTGACTTTTCCACATCTTAGCTCTTCTTCCCTCAGCCCCAAAGGCCTGTGAGCAGCTGGTGGACTAAAAACCATGGAGACAGGTGGCTCTAGAAGGTGGGCCCTGGTTCTGCACCATCTCCCCGTGTGGCGTTGGGCAAATCACTCATGATGATGACAGTGATATCTATGGGGAGCTCTCCCCGTGTTGGGCGCTGTGCCCTCAGCTTTCCTGGCTGATCTCATTCCTGGTTTCCTCACCTGCAAAGTGGGAACTTACAATGGTGTCTACTCTTAGAATTGCGCAGTGAGCCCCAGTGAGAGCTTTTGTGAAACTGGCTGGCTAACGGTAAAGCACCAGGCGACTGCTGTCATTCTACTTTGAAGGGCAACACTTGTTTAGATCTATAGTTTTCAGATGTGTGTGTGTTGTTTTTTAAAGAAAGCCACAGGCATGTTATTTATAGTCAGCTCCTGTACAGGTTTTTATCATTCCTCGGCAGCTCTGCTAAAAATAACAAACGACAAAGGTCACGTCTGCTCCTACCTATCTGAGGAATCTACAAAGAATGAGGCTTTTGATTTACTGCCTCAGAGAAGTGAGAACTCCCCTGCCGAGACTCATTGAGGACCAGAGCCCCTGAAATTCCTCTTCGGGTCACCTGGCTCCACAAGGGGGAACTGAGGCAGGCTTTGGGGGGGGGGGGCAGACTGCAGCTCTTAGAGACCTGCAAATGTCTCTCTGTGCAGGCTTCCTGGCCTTGGCCACCCTTTCCCTCGGCCCAGGGAGGCAGGTGGTGGTGGAGCACCTAGGGGACTGAAGGGTGGGAGTCCTAGGTCCCAGTCCCATGGTGCCATGGGGAGAGCCTCTCCATGTTCAAAATGAGAGGGGTGGAGGTGATAGCCACTGAGAATTTTCTCTTTGATCCTAACCAAGCACACAGATGCTCCATTCTTATCTCCCTCCCCTCTGGCCTGCACCACCACGAATTCATTTAATGAATACCCACTGGACTCTGATAATGACAGCATCAGCTGTGCTGATCCTCAGGGCACCATTTGTGGAGTGCTGGGCTAGGGACGCCCTCAGGTGGAGTAAACTCATTGAATCCCTGCAGCCCCACAGGGGAAGGAAGCTTGTTGTCCCCATCTGATGGATAGTGGGGCACGGAGGCCAAAGAGGTGAAGCTGCATGTGCTCCACCTTGTACCAGGCAGTGACAGCTCTGAAATGTGGACTGGTATCAGCTCCTGCGCCTGTGGTCGGCCTCAGTAACTGAGCTGGGCCTCAGGGGCAGGCACACAAATGGACCCAGTGCTTGCTTTCCCTGCCGCCCAGGGAGCAGTGACCACAGGTGTGATGACCTCATGTGATGTGGGGGTGGCTGGGGAAGGACAAAAGCCTGGGGCAGCTCCTACAGGTTGCAGCGAGGAGCTCACTTTACTCGGCCTTGACAATTGAAGGGATGTGGGGCATTCCAGGTAGCAGGCGCAGCAAGAGGGAAGATGGGTGGGGTTGGGGTGTGAGTCCCAGAAAGCTTAGAAGCCCAAAGCCAGAAGGCTGGTAGTTAGCCTATAGGTCAGCACGCCTCAGAATCCAGTAGTGGTATCTTGCCAGTCTATGAGTCTCAGCCTATAATGAGTACTAGTCTTGATATAACTCCCTTAAAAAAAAAAAAATACAGGGTTGGGCGACGCCTGTGGCTCAAAGGAGTAGGGCGCTGGCCCCATATACCAGAGGTGGCAGGTTCAAACCCGGCCCCGGCCAAAAACTGAAAAAAAAAAAAATACAGGGTGGCTATAAAGTTCACGTGAAATTTAAAAATCACACACTATTTTAAACTGCACATGAACTTTACAGCCGCCCTGTATATGTGTATCTCCACGTAGTATTATCTTAAGCATGTGTAGCCACGGCATCACGGAATTGCTGGCCAACCCTACTTTTCTCCTAACACATTAAAATAAGTGCCCAGTTACTAAACTGCCCCAAGACATCTGCCTTTGGGGATCGGCCTCAACCTCAAGGTGGGCACTAGGCAGCTGACCTGGTCAGAGCTGCAGAAGGATTTCCTGGAGGTTAGACAGTGCAGGAGCCACCTCTGGGGGTGGCCCCAGTCCCACAGCAAAGGTCTGGGGGTTCCATGTGCTCCTGAGCTGAGAGCGTCACCCTGGCCTGGCCAAGCCCCCTCTTCAGCCCCTGCTCTCCTGCTTCAGCTGAGCCCAGGGAGTGCTCACTCCCGATAGCGCTTTTTCCCAGCCGAGGGCCGCTGCGGCCCGTTCTGACCTCAATGACTAACACACATTCCTGGCCTAGTTAGAAAGCCCCTCGCCTCTCATATTTATAGCCACTCCCAATGCCACTTGCGCTTCTGAGGGCGGGCCAGCTCTTCTTTGGAACCTTCTTTTGCTATCCCTGCCCTGCACCAACAGGTGCTGTCTGACTCTCTTTGGGGGACAGGAGTGGAGCAGGCATTTTGTTGATCGTGGGCAAGTGGCTTCCTCTCCCTGACTTCACGGACCATTGTACCTGCTGGGCTGGGCCCTGGTGAAGGCTGAGTAAGAGCCTCGTTCTGGAATCATGAGTAATGGCTAATGTTTGTGGCATGCTAGTATGCACTAGGCCCTGTACTAGGAAGCACTTGGCACACAGGAGCTGATTTCACCCTGACAACAACCCTACAGGGGACGTACTGTTACCATCATAATCATTTAGCAGAGGAAGAAACTGAGGCACAGAAAGGTTAGGTAACTTG